CCTGTAAGTAAGCGATTTTTAATTCCGGAAGCATGTCTCATTGGTAGCTAAAACCACTCAAATTTTCTCTCTACGAACAAAAAATAAAAGAATAAAAAATATAAGCCAAGCCAAGCCAAGCTGCGTGAGATGAGAACAGACAAACGAAGCAAAAGGCAAACCCACGTCAGTGTAAGTAACGGGCAACTGCCCCCATTTACGTACATTCATTGCTACCGCTCCCACGCCCACTTCCTTCAATTTCTCTCTCTCTTTAGCTTTCGTCTTTCTTTTGGCTTCATTAGCATAGGCTGTATAGCAAACAACCCCCATTATTATTTTAGTTGCGAAAAAACCTCACTTCTTTTTAAAAAAAAAAAAAAAAAAAAATCTCCTAAACTGAAGAAGCTAAATTTGTTAATAAGTTTAATTTGCACCAACTCATCATCTTCCGCTCCACCTCATTTCATTGCACAGACCTCACTGTCCTTTTCTCTTTTTCTTCTTTTCTTTGAAAGGGTCTTCTCTGATCACCTAATTAAATTAAAGCCCAAAACTATGAAACAATTGAATGGTAGCTACAACCTTAATGTCAAGAAGAACCCATTTTCCTCAATTCTTGTTAAGTTTGTCATTTGTTTTCTATTACTTGGGCTTGCTTATCGTCTGTATTCCTCAAGTTACGTGCAGTTCTCCCCTGTTGAGGTTACTACTGAAACAACAACAACGATTAATGGTGACGATGATGTGGGCCCCCAGTCATTGCCACCTCCGGTGATCAGCGGGTTACCGCCGGTTTCCACCATTGATCCTCCTCCGGAGGCTGTTGATGTCAACAAGAATACAACCTCTCAGGCTGGTTAGTCCATAATTCTCCTTTAATTTCTTTTAAACCCTTCAATGCATGACTGAATAATTTGTTGAACTATTGTTATTATTCTATGTTTTAAAGAAATCATGCATGGAATTTATTCTCATGCTTTTGGGGGTCTCTGCATAGAATTATTGTGGGATGCTGTGAATTTGTGCATTCTCAAATTGGATTCTTTAGCACTTCTGTGGAGATTATTCTCATTTACTGGTGCATTTTTAGGTAAAGAGGGTATCTTTCCATGTTCATCTAACTTTAGGAGAATGGTTTCAGATTCCAGGAATAAAGATGAAATTATGCTTCCCTGTGAGTAGTGCTCGCGAGGAAAGCTTTTCCCCTGTTAACTTTTCTTTTTTCCTGTATTTTTTCTTTTTCTTTCTTTGTTGCAATTCTCTACAAATTTCTACTGCATGTTAGAACCTTTGCGAGCAACCCTCTTTCCTTTCAAGAACTATTTTTCTTTTCCCTTTTTTATGTTTTTTTTGGGGGGGGGGGGGGGTTGCAGTGGGGAGTGCTGGGGCGGATGAGTGGTTTTGAAGGTACGGGAGCTTTTTGCGGTTTACTTTGGATCATCAGTCTCTATCAAATGGTAATTGTGCTTTTTTTTTTCCTGTCCGCAGATTAAGGATCCTTACTTGAATTTTTTGAGTAGAATGATATTTGTTATTTGTCGCTGTCAATCATTATTTTGTATCTATTGATTATTCTTAACTTCTAAAGCATGCCTTGTGATATTAATGTTTGCTGTTGTGGTGAGCCCACTCTACTATATCCACACCCTGTGAAAGGGTATTGCAGAGTGATATTGAATTCAATGATGTCTGTGTTGTAGCAGGAAAATGTAATCTATTTGTAGGAGATTGGGTTCCGGATTCTACTGGTCCATATTACTCCAATAGTACGTGCTCTTTGATTGAAGGCCATCAAAATTGCATGAAGAATGGCCGTCCCGATACCGGTTACATCTATTGGAGATGGAATCCAAGAGACTGTGATTTACCCAAGTTTAACGCAAAACGGTTTCTGGATTTTGTGAGGAACAAATCATTAGCCTTTATTGGTGATTCAATAATGCGTAATCATTGCCAATCATTGGTTTGCACTCTTTCTCAGGTATAATTTGAGCTTTTCAAGTCCATGGATATCTGTATTCCTCTAATTTGTGTCTGGCAGTGTTCTGTGATGATCTCTTTAATATTTTTCGTTGGTTCTTAACTAGTAATTAGTATGATGAACATGATCAGATTTACGTTGAAGTGGTTCTTTGGTCATATTTTCATCTAAATCAGTGGGAAATCATCTGCAGTCTAAAATTTTCCTGTTTTATACGTGAAGTTAATGAAAACAAGAGATTTTGTTGGGTCTCATGGTAAGGTTCTTTTTCTTTGAATTGGAGCTTTCACAACATTGCATTCTACTACCATAATTAGAAATGACAGATAATCAACATTTGCATATGGTTGGAGTCATATCTGCTTAGTCATGCAGCTGAGACATGCTCTTTCCAATTAGGACATTAGTCAATATCAAAATGAAATATCATACCAATAAGCCTTGAGGTTTAAGATTTTTAGATCACTTCCTCTCTGGTGCCAAATTTCCTTGATTGCGGTGACCCATGACCTGTAATAACCAACCTTTAAGGTTACCATCCATGGATACCTCTGTCCACTAGCTACTGCCATAATTATCTTTCCATAGTCTTCATGAGAAAAAGATTTCTGAAGTTTACTTCATGGGGGAGGCTGCATGCTTGTTCTTGGCGAAAGACTTGGCACTTAGTAATATCAGCCATTTTGGGAAATTCAATCACTAGATATTATCCTTTAGTAAATTCAGATTTTTCTGTGTCTTATTCTTCCCCATTTTGCCCGTATGAAATCAGTTCATTACTGCCTCACTCATTTCACTATAGCCCATTTTATTAAATACCATTTGGTCTAATCTTTAGTCAGAATCTGCCCATTTCAAAGCACTTACATGTGGCAGGTGGAAGAAGCTGTGGAGGTCTACCATGACAAGCAATACAAGAGCAAGAGATGGTCTTTCCCTGCTCACAACTTTACTTTGTCTGTTATTTGGTCTCCATTCTTGGCCAAAGCCACCATCTTTGAAGACGACAATGGGATGTCAACAGACATAATTCAGCTCCATCTTGATGAATTGGATGCAGTGTGGACACAACAGTATAACAATTTTGATTACCTAGTGACTGCCGGGGGAAAATGGTTTCTCAAAGCTGCGGTTTACTATGAGAACAATACAATTGTTGGCTGCCATAACTGCCAGAGAGAGAATATTACAGAAGTAGGATTCTATTACGCCTATGGCAAGGTAATAAATTCTACCCTAAAATTTATTACAAGCTCAAAGCACAGGGTGTACGCATTCCTCAGAACTACAACTCCTGATCACTTTGAGAATGGTGAATGGCACAATGGTGGTTATTGCAACAGGACGAAGCCATTTAAAGAAGGTGAGGTTGACATGAATCCCATAGATGAAATGTTGCGTAAGGTTGAATTAGAAGAGTTTGAGATGGCATCGACTATTGGATCTCAGAATGGGATAACCTTGAAATTATTTGATACAAGTTATCTTTCTTTACTGAGGCCTGATGGGCACCCAGGGGCTTACCGGCATTTTCAGCCATTTGCTGGAAAGGATAAGAATGTAAAAGTCCAAAATGATTGTCTCCATTGGTGCTTGCCTGGGCCCGTAGACTCTTGGAATGATTTGATGCTGAATGTGCTGCTGAACAGTTGAAAATTGTGATGATTAAGCCAGAAATCTTGTGTGCACTATATTTTTGGGTGTTTTGAATGATCCTGATGGTCTCAAAGAAGGAAAAGGTTTCTCCATTTTCGAATGGCTATACCAGCATCGAGATTTTTTGCAGATTGCATTTCCTAATCTGATGCCTAGTGTGCGTACAGTGTAGAGCGATGCTCAGAAAGATTGAAGCCAGTTTCACTTGTAGCCTTTTGTTTTCCTGGGTATATAGAAAATGGAGTCATGATTATGAGGCCCATGTAGAATCATAGATTCAGATCAAGAGTAAACATGAGATTTGTGGCTCATAAGATTCATAATTTTGTCTATAACATCTCCATTCTTTTGGAAGCACCGCCAATTTTACTCCTCAGTGATGCCAGCATGCGATCTATTAAAGAATATCAACACTATTACATCAATTTTAAGCGGCAGATGTAAGTTAATATTGCTCCAGCCATCATTTCAATAGGGATGGTTTTAAGCCTTTGCATTTGTTGGGACACTGGGGAGAAAACGAAGCAAGAAAGTCCTAATTACAGAGGTTGAGACATTAAAATATAGAGGTTCTGAGTTTTAATTCCTTTGCTCCCTCCGGCTTCTTAAATCCCACCCCTTCCTTGCTAAGAAAAAAAGAATTTAAAAGTCCGAATTGCAGAGATTTTTTCTATCCTTTCTCCCCTTAAACATGAATTTGACAAATCTTCTTCATTGCTCTACTCAGAAGTCTGGAAGCAACCACGCATCCAACAGAGCGCAAGTAGTGCAAATTGTGATTTATGTTGAGTTTGTTGGATTTGGATGCATCTTGACTATGAGCCTGTGAAAACCAAACTCCAATCCTCTACTGACAAAACTAATGCGCAAACTGCAAATTCAAGTCAGTCTGTGGATTGCCGAAAAGCTCATGCAGTGACATGGAATGAAATTTTGCCAGCCTAGGTCTTCAAACAAATACTACTAGTAGTTATGAAACCATGCATTCTCTTCAAGAAACAAGAACAGCAAAAGAGAAAGAACCTAGCTTGCAAGACTTTTACTTTTTTCAATACATGCAGATATGTCACGGGAGCCATGAAACTACTTGTGCCACCGGAACCACCTTTGCCACCTCCAAGACAACAGGCAGAGAAGAACTGGAAAGCAACTTTTGGTGGACGAAAGCAATCCTGCTGTGATTCCTGTTTTGCGCAGCAGTGAATTCATCACCCATACGGACGAAAATGAACTCATTTCAGGCAACAAGTCTACACAAGTTTCACGTGAAATATTCAGTTCAGTTCTACATGATGTACTAAGTTCTGCCATATACAGCAAAAAGATGGGAGGAGGAAAAGCTCAGACTTGCTAGAGAAAAACCAGGAAAAACAGTTGATGATGGAGAGTTTTATGGTATAGTCTTATAACAGGATAATTCCTCATTCTTTTTGAGAAATAACAACGATATAACGGGATCTAGCACACTGTATTCCTTTTTGACAAGTCACATTCTCCATATTTGTACCGAATCTGTCCAAATCTTACCAAAAGATTGAGAAGGCAGCCCAAAAGATGTTTACATCAATAAGAACTGAACAACTGCAGGTTATCCATCCAAACTGAAAGAAAATTCTACATGTAACTGGCAAAAATCAACTTATCCAAACAAATATTTATTCCAACATAAACTCAAAAACATCAGTTCTGATAACATGCCCAGAAATAGACACTGAAAGCCAGGTTAAATCACATTGAAGAAGGATTTTTTTCCCCTCTTATTTCCTCTTCACTTGGATGCAGGCAGAGTTTCTTGTTTCCTTGGATCTGGCTTAAGGAACCAATCCTACATTACAATGAATACATATAGAAAATATGAGAATAAGAAACTGAATCCAAGCAAAGACATATATATATATAAAAGTTCAAGCATCAAGAGGAAGATGAAGAAGTAATTATAACCCCAATTATTTTAATGTGGAGTTGGTACAAGGGTTCAACATATGGTAGTATATGAAACGGGGAAGCTTCTCAACAAGTCACAAAAAGTGCCAGAATACTATTTAGACACAGAAGGGATAACTACTTAATACTTATTTGTGCTTAACTTCTATGCTTGGTCACAAACTTCACTCAGTTTAGGCTGTAAACTGGTACTCAATGCGTTCAAGCTCAGATGGGCAAACTATCTAACTACTAGATAGAAATGCTTTTGGCATCTAGAGGCATGATACGGCAAGAAAATTTGTTAAAACACTGGCTCTTAAACCATCTAATGACATGTAACAAGAGCCTTCATTTTAGTAACTTTGCCGATACTTGATCAATATCCTGAAGTATCAAGACCAAATATACACCCAGTACTTGTGCCCCTTCCCTCCTGTGTCATGCGATACCTCAAGGGAATTACTTGACTTCTATATTCGTAAACTTTCCTAGCAGCACTAATGCATATGAGCGGCACTAAGTTTTACAGTCTTATTAATTGAAAAAAAGAAAAAGTTTTACAGTCTTATCATGATCCAAAGGCAGAGAAATCAATTGGAGGCCTGCCCAGAGGAAATGCTTCAATTGACCAAAGAATTTTGGGGTATCAAACATTACTAGTTCCTTTTGCAATTGTAAAAATCCAAGCTCCAACTTCAACACTAAAGAGCATCGTCAAAGACCAAATTGGCTTGATCTAAATAGCTCTAGTGGCCAATAACACTTGCTGGATACTTTGCTTATCGCAGAACATACTAACAAAAGTTAGGCTTCAACTACTGCATCTATAAACGAACCAAGCCAAAACCTAATTCCAAAATATTCAAAAGTTAATCAGCCCATCCCCATTCAAACATGGTACATAAACAACTTATAACTAGACAGATAGGCAGAAGAACAACATGCATTCTTTAATTCTTAAATCTTAAAAACAGCGACTCAAAACACACAACGTTTTGCGATCTAAAACCAATTTCAAAATTAACATAAGAAATAGGAAATCTTATGGGGCTATTGCATCTGATTCAAGGAAAACAAAAAAGATAAGAAATTGATGAAAGTATTAGCATAAAAGCAGGAAAAAAAAAAAGAGAAAAGAAAAGGCATACATTTTCGATGAAGAGGTAGTTGGCGACGACAACAGCGCCGACGATTGAACCCAGAATGGCAACTGGGCCTGTTAGCAAACTCCATTTCCTGTGTATCATCTTCCCCTTCCCACCAACTCTGCTTCTCCTTCGATTTACCCTATTCGCTATTGGGTAATTCCTCCCTTATCCTTCTTCTAACCTTCACAGTTCCCCAAATAACTACTGCCCGCATACCCGCAACCCCCCCCCCCCCGGGCAAAAAAAAAAAAAAAAAACAAAAAGCTCATTCCCTCGAAAAGGATAAATATTATTAACCTCCCCAAAAGTTTTGCTAAATTACATAGGCTAGTTTTTGTGTTTCTAAAATTACATTGACCCCCCAATCAATTGTGTACAAGTACACTTTCAATTAAACCCCAAAAACCAGTTCTGCCCAAATTTTTAATTTTTATTAAGCCTTTTTACTACCCTGTGCTTGGTATGTATCAAATTCTCAAATTATCTTGTACCACTTACTAAGTGACTAGTACAAGATATAAATTAGTATTTGGTTATAATTGTCTTTCAAGATACAAGATAAATTGACATGTAAGAATATTTATATATTTTATTATTTTTTGTTGTAGCAACTACAAATTCAAAAGGTTAAAAAGGATGGAGAGATTATTACGAGTCTCGCAGGGTGTGTTTATGCGTTTCTTTTTTTCCTTTTTTGTGGGCATAAAACTAAATTCGCATCTCTTGCAATAGTATTATTAATTTAGGGTTAATTACATTTACCTCCCCTGAGGTTTGACCATATTACCAATCAATCCCTGTAATTTGTCCAAATAACGGTATCACCCTTTGAATGATCAAACATTTAACAAAAACCCCCTTAATGCCGAAAATGCCCTTATTGAGGCCATATTGCATTAAAAAAAGAATATATTTTTATTTATTAACCTTCAAGTAATCCAAAAAAATAGAAAAAGTTTTTGCTTATTATTTTATAAAAATCATATCTTTACTTCCATAAATAGTTTTGAATCAATAATTATTTTAAATCTTAAAAATGAATATTAAAAATTAGATAAATTGAAAGAAAAATAAAAAAGAAGAAATTATTTTAAATCCTCAAGTATGGTTCGAATTTGTGGTTCAAGGCATGTTGCGGAGAGCACAAGGCATGTTTTCCTCAATTTGAACCATACTCCAGGAATTAAAATAATTTCTTCTTTTTTTATTTTTCTTTCAATTTATCTAATTTTTAATATTCATTTTTAAGATTTAAAATAATTATTGATTCAAAACTATTTATGGAAGCAAATATATGGTTTTTATAAAATAATAAGCAAAAACTTTTTTCTATTTTTTTGGATTGCTTCAGGGTTAATAAAATAAAAATATGTTCTTTTTTTAATGCAACATGGCCTCAATAAGGGTATTTTCGCCATTAAGGGGGTTTTTGTTAAATGTTTGATCATTCAAAGAGTGAGACCGTTATTTGGACAAATTACAAGGATTGATTGGTAATATGGTCAAACCTCAGGGGAGGTAAATGTAATTAACCCATTAATTTATTAGTGTGAATTTGAATGGTACCCCTGCCCTCTATTTTTTTCCCCTGAATTATTGCCTTAAATTGAACTAAGGAGATCTAATTCCCTAAATTACAACTTAACAAGGAACTTATTGTAGTGGCCAATTCGCTCAAAACGAGTTGATTTTTCTATCCTTATGTCAATTTCTCAAAAGCATGTAGTATTTTGTTCTTTTCTCTTTTTTTATTTATTTATGGGAGTGGATGATAAATACACTGTTTGTCAAGTCTTTTGCATAAAGGTGTTTATCTAAATGTATGGTTAAAGTCATCACGGCACGAATACTTACTCGATGGATACTCTTATGAAAAAAAAAAAATTTCTAATGATTGTCTAATGGGCATTGATTAGTATACTTATATCACGTCTAATCTACCATATGAATTCATTCATACACTGACAATTATTATCCTATCCTATATTTATATGCTTTTATGGTTAACATTACTTTTTTCAAAATATGATTAACTGGTGCTCATTACTATAAGCTCTAATTGACCCTAAAATAACTTACTTTTTTTTTTTGTCAATCGTCATTTTATCGATAATATCCTACACTATTCTAATCTAAGGGGGAGATCCAACTGGGTCTAGGAGGACCGGTGGGAATTGAACAACTATCGGATCAAACGGGTGCACTACGCACTCGTCTGGATTTTTTTGAGAAACCGCTTAATATGGCAATTGATAAAAGGCAATATTTGAATGGTTTAATGATAGCCATCAGCAAAAAGGCCGGTGGGTGACCCTAAAATAACTTCTACCTATTATATAAGAAAAAAGCCAAGTTACTATAGCACCCCATCTTTTTTACACATGTATTGCACATATTTTTGACAAGTGGATTCTTGGTCATTTTAGCTAAACTTTTCCTTCCCTTTTTTGATTCAATTGGGCCAAAATAATTAAAATATTTTTTCTCTTTCAGAAAATCAACTGTGTCGCTTCTTCTTCTTCTTGCGGCAAGTGCTGTTATTTTTTATTTTTTAAAACTAATCTAACTAAAATTGTTGCCATGTTCTTTTTTTTTTCGTCGAGATGATTAGCTACTTAACAAAGAGAAGTTTTTATTATTTTTTTATCCCATTTTACATTTTCTTTTCTTCCTTGTTTTTCTTCATGTCTAATCTCTCATATTTGCTCTATTCTTCGATCATAATGTTATAGTCAACTGGCATTTGTTTGTTAAATTTATAGGATGATGCTATTATTTGGTATTTTTCATGGATAAAAGGTGAAATATTAAAATATGTAAAAAAGATCTTAGAATTCATTTTATACCAATGATCATTTTCTATGAAGAATAGAACAATAATTCTTTCTTTTCTTTTCTCCTCCCACGATTTGATTTCTTACTTCACATTTTTTTTCTTTTTCTTTGTTTTTTGGTTACATTTTGTAATTATCTACAATTTTGTGTATTTTTTAAAGAGAAAAGATATATCATATGATGCTTCCACCAAGATAAATCTAACTAGGCATTCTTCTACCTCTGTGTTCTATAAGATTTTGTATATATTTAAACTAACGTTAATTTTTGTTTGTTTTTTTAATTATTCAGGTTCTGTGGTATAAATTGGGTTGGCATATAAAAATTGTAGTTGGTGGTAGAAGTCACAATTAAAAATTGTTAGAAAATTCAATTTTGATTAGGAAAATGTTTTTGCAATAAAAAAAATGGTTCAATTCTAATTTGTATATGTAGATCTGGAAACGTAGCAATTCATATTTTTTATCTAACCTTGCTATTTATATTCTGGAGCTGCAGGATAATGTTGTCACCTTTAAACGGGATTTAAATAAATAAAGAAAGAAAAATGTGAAACTTTAGAGTAAGTTATATTGATGTTAAAGATTGTGACATGTCTTAGTGGCTTTCTAAACTTTTTCTCATTATTAAAATACTGGAAGCATTATGACTGCTTTTGATTTAGTTACAACTAAGACTATGCTACTAATTAATACAGCAATGCACTTGTAGTGTATTGATTTTCTCTCTTTTTTGGGTATTATCATAATAATAGTTCAAAAATCTTTATTCAAATCACAATAAATAGGGGTATTAACTTCATAGATGGAATTTCTCTTCACAACAAATTTTGAGGGAAATTTTATTTATACTCCATATTTTATTAATTGTATTCCTACAATAAATAAAAACTATATGATAAAAATAATAGTGAAAATGTGATTAACAAAAATGAGAGTTCAAATAACATATGTTAATTTTAATTGTTTTGAGGCCCAATTTTCTCCTATATTTCTATTGATTTATCATGTGCCAAAATAATTTGATGTTATGTGTTTGACTAAATTTCTAGGGGGCCAAACTGTGCTTTGCACAGCTCAAGTACCTCTAGTACTAGTACATACTTTTCAATCCCACGAGTTCCTGTCAACGCCATGCTGTCAGCTTGGCAGTTGGCACCTCAGACATAATTCACTGCTAAGATCTTTCTCATCAAATTATTGTCACCTCAACCACCAGCCCAAACCAACTTCCTTTAGTGGAGTTGGCCACCACATTAATTGTGGGGTGGGAGGTCAAGGGTTCAAACCTTGCCTCCCATCAATGTCCCTCAATATGAGGTTTGTTCTAAATCCATACAAGTGTGTGGTGCACAAAAAAAACCACCAGCCCAAAGGCACGTGGCCACCATTAAATCATTTAAGTTTTGGTGGGATAGGAGGCAAGGGATCAATTGCTACATTAAATGGCTTCTTAAAAAATCTAGGTCCAGTAGTGGTTTAGTCTCCACCGACCTCTCTAGATCCAGTTGGGTCTCCCCCTTAGATTAGGATAGTGTAGGATATTATAGAAAAAGTGATGATTGACTAAAAAAAAAGAAAATTATTGCCGCATCCCATTTTACGGGCATTACCATGAATTTAAAACTCCTCTAAGGGTTGTTAAATTCTGATTCATACTACGGAGTAGAAGAAATAGCAGTTCAAGCGGGATACAAACTAAACTATTTCATCGGCTTACTCAATGCGATTTTCTTGCCCGTTCGTTATTTGGGGCTTGTGGCTCTGCAAGTAGAATTTTGGGTAGGATCGCACATGAAGGCTTCCAGTCCATACCCTTAGAGGAGCCCATTTTTTGTTCGACGCAGTTGGACGATTGATATCATTTTCTTTGGGCTTCTAAACTATCCTGACAGTGATGACGATCTATTGTCTATCTTTGCTTTCCGTAATGGACTTTCTTCTAGCCCACTACCTCGTTAGAATCTCTAGATTCCGAAATTCGCATTTTAATCGGTGTTACCATTCCTTATTTTTTTTTTGGGCAACACAGAGGTATCTGGGTCTTCGGACTGATAATACCTAATGACCCAACTAATCCTCTGCGGGTCGGGAGAGGCTGCCCAGCTTTTTCACCGACCGCTTTACCGGGATTCGAACCTTCGCGGAGGTACTCCCCCAACTGGGGTACTACCACCAGCTCTAGCCCCGGGGGGCAACCACTCCTTATTACCTACTTGTTTTTGACACAATCTCTGTGTGTCTGGATATTTTGAAAGCTATATATATATATATATATATATATATATATATATATATATATGTTGGTGGGAAATTGAAAGAATTGATTGGAAAAGTAAAAATTAAGTTTTAAACTGAGGTGGAAGAAGTTTGTTCATAAAATCATACCAA